TGCTCGTGGTTGATTTTGCGATCGTTCGAGCTTTGTTGTAATTTGCACGTTAGTGTGCCGACTAAAACTCTATTTTCGCTAACCGGGTGCTTCAACAATTAGCTTCCCGGGAGACCTCTGTATCCACTGACGGCTCAGGACGGATCAGGACTGTCGAATAACCGTGTGACATCCACTAGGTCACCTCGGTTATCCCTACCTTTACTTAAGGGTGGGCGGCGAGGAAAAACTGCCCAATCATGGCAGGCTCAAAACCGAGCGCTAATTGGTTAAAATGAAGATGGTTGGGACCTTTGGAAAGGGTACTGCGAACGCCTCCAGATGAGTTTCCTCCTCAAGGGAAAATTTGGAAATCTACCCCATCTGGAAGCAATTACGCCGAGTGGTCCAAGTCCCAACTCCGCTAACGGCCTGGTCGTAAATCAAGGATAAGTCCTTTACGGAGGACCACCATAAAACGGTCGACGGGGCCCATGAGTTTTACCATGGTCGAAAACTAACGTTTCCGCCACTGGGGTGACAGGCCCACCCCCTAGCCATTAAGGACCTATGTGCCTGGCCCCCTCCGTGAAGCCCAGATGGGGAATCCCTAACACCCTCCATTTTCGGCTGTTAAAGTAATTGTGGAACACCCTGTATAGAATCTTCTCCACCTGAATCCCTATACAGTACAGAATGAGCACCGAAAAAACAGTTCGCAGGATCTTCGATCTGAGTGATTGATCGAAGGGCCAAAGTCCAGTGATGAACAACACAGAGTAATACACAGCGTAATTCTTTCGGAACCCTTCCATCATGGTGTCGACGTTCGCGTATGTATGTATCTACGAATAATACGTAGTGTTGTCTGAGTACGGCACGGCTCCTATAGACCACAGTGTTCACACATTATTCAGTCTACTCTGCTTCCGTTTCTAATTTACGTCAATCCCACTCTCGCCCTTTTGGTTGCTAGAAATATAATAGAATTCATTTGCTGTAACAGTGAATTTCCGAGCGGGATCGATTGCTATTAATGCGTAATGTCGACCGGCCGTCTTCTAGCGCAGCGGTGTCCAGTACCGATACGGACACGACGCGAACAGGATACTCCCATGAGTTCTAATTTATCTTATCTCTCCTGATAGTTCGTAAAATTCCTGAAGTGCCGAGGCCACGCGTGCCGCAGCTGATTCTGCCTAATTCGCGCACAGATGGACAATTTGGACAATTTCACAAAAATGGACAATTTCGGAGGAGGAGATACGATTATTCGAGCCTTCTATATATATATATGTATGTATAATTTCTGTAATCCTTAAGATCTCTTTCATCGAAATATTACTCGCTAATAAAATACATAATATATTACGTGCTAATAATTCTTGTTTTCGATCTACGTGACATTTTTTATACTCTACAGTAAATTCTCCCTCTCGGCTTATGCACAAAAAATAGACGATTTGGGAAGAGGAGATACGTTCATCGCAGCCCTTCGACACGCTTTTGACAATTTAACACTTGTTGGCAATCGTTAGAATCAATCTGACAATTGAGCCGTTTATTTTGAAAGTGACATCGTCGATATATTTAAGGGTTTGCGTTTTAACGCGTTTAAAAATATGGATGCTAACTTTCGAGAAGATTTACTTGTATTTGTTATCTCAGGATACTGATATTTTTCTCGGTATAAATAATTTCGTATAAACATTAAAAAAATCACCACTTATCATTACGGTAAAGTGATTTGTGCCACTTTCAAAATAAACGGCTCAATTGTTAATCTGTAAAAATGAGTCGCGAGGCTCGAATAATCGTATCTCTCTCTCACGAATTGTTCATTTCTGTGTACAATCTGTATTCGGTTCTCGTCCCACGGATTTTCAAATATGAAACAGTGCAACAACGAGTCGACTTCGATCAGTGCAGTAAGAAACTTGTTAGAGCGTACGCCATTGGCTCGGCCGCCTCGCGCCAGCCGAGCTCGTCTCTCATTGGTCAGTGTTCTTCGTTGATAACCCGTTAACGACGCCTCGGAGAAAATTGTTGTAAAGGACAAAGTGGCTTCAGATGATCTCAGGAACCTACCGTCACCCTATTGCGGGTTACTTTTGGGACACCCTGTATGCACGCGAACATATTTTAGAATAGATAGTTGTTCACAGCCTTTTGGGACGGATAGTAAAAATTGCCGAAACGAACAATAACAAACAATTTCTACTGAACTATAAATAAATATTTATTTATAACGTATGCATGACTAGAGTTACTACAATTAAAAAAACATCGCCGGAAATACCGTTTCGGAGTTTCGTGTGATACTTAATGCCTTTACTTGCCACAATTACTAGGCCACGTTCTACGTTTCATTTCACCTGGAATATATAAAAGAACGTTCGAGATTAACCCTAGAAAGATAACCATATGACAACGTACGTAAAAGATAACCATACGCTTCAGAGGCGCATGTTTTTCTAAGGCGTCAATTTTATACTAACAATGGATATTTATTTAAGTTAATCTAGTCATTTTAAAGGTTTGGCATTATTGTAAAAATAAAATGTATTTATATTATATTTTTTTATATTTTAAGTAATTTTAAACTTAAATCACTAGACCTCTATGAAAAATTAACAAAAATCAACAGTCTTTGCAGGCGCCTCTGCGACGTAGGTTATCTTTCTCGGGTTAATAAGTTCATTGTTGCTTGTTGCGTTACAGCAGCGTGTTAATTCTCACGGCTGGGCTGCGGATGTTTCTGCTGCGAATGTATTTTTTTCTTTTTTATAAAATGAATAGACAAATGGGACCGGGACAGAAATTTACGCCACGATCAGTCGATTCCTACGGTATATTTCTTTTTTTATTTTGCATATTTTGCGGGTTGCGCACGTTTCGCATATTTACGTGCGAGAACGTTATGCAACGATGCAGGGTGTCCCGTAATTACGTTAACGCCCGGAAACGGGTGATTCGTCCGCGTGTTTCGATTCAAACATTTCTGGAAGAAATTACTATATTTTGCATGTTCTCGCGCATATCTTGCATACACGTCGAGCATAAACATCCGCGGCCTGTTCGGTGACATTCGATGCCTTCGACAGCCGTTTCGTTGTAGTCACCATTTTATTTTTGTATCGGTCGTGATTTTATCATTACATCGACAAGAGAACGGTGAAGTACGAAAATGATGCGCTCATCATCTGAAAACAGAAATTTCTTGAATACGGTAACAATCGTCATTGCTCGTAGCATATAGAAACAATTAATTACCGCCGTAAAGCCTTGGTAATTTGGAACGAACAGACCGGCGAGGCTGAATTGCATTTCGAGCGTGCTTTTCATCAGTATGAACAGCACCAATTTCTGCGACTTCGTCGACGTACAGTACCACAACGAACTGTATCTAGCGTATCGAATAGCTTCGTTTCATTAATTCTCGTCGCATTATTTTTTTAATCTTCATTAACCCGAGAAAGATAACCTACGTCGCAGAGGCGCCTGCGAAGACTGTTGATTTTTGTTAATTTTTCATAGAGGTCTAGTGATTTAAGTTTAAAATTACTTAAAATATAAAAAAATATAATATAAATGCATTTTATTTTTACAATAATGCCAAACCTTTAAAATGACTAGATTAACTTAAATAAATATCCATTGTTAGTATAAAATTGACGCCTTAGAAAAGCATGCGCCTCTGAAGCGTATGGTTATCTTTTACGTACGTTGTCATATGGTTATCTTTCTAGGGTTAATTCTGGTCTTATTTTTTTTTTTAATGTAATTACTAGTTAACGCATTCGAACGTAGAAATTCGTTTCGTTAAAAAAAAAGAACCATCGACTTACATTTCGTGAAACAGATCGACGCTGCTGGTCGTCAATTGTTGTCCGCTGTGGTTATTCAAGAATATAAAGATCAGATGCGTCACGAGCATTAGTACACTAACGAGAAGATTGTCCACGTTTTTCGTGTCCGAGATCGCCAGGTAGGTCTGTTCGAATCGGAAAGCAAGACACGTTTAAGTTTCCATCGACGGAAGCGTAAAAATGGCGGACGCGAGATTCGCGCGGAGCTTCATCTTACGCGCGTACTTCCGAGAATGCTTACGCGATATAAGTTTGCAGCGAACGAGATCACGACTGTTAGGATCGCCACTAAATAGGACACCATCATACTGTTCATAATACGTGATATGATACTTCTTTCGTGGATTCATGATGTTTCAGTGTATTTGCACAATGGAAAGAGAAAATGTAAAAAGAAGACTGAGTACATTAACGATACAAAAATACACATATATCGATGAACGAAGATACCAACTCAATGGCACGCTGGTGAATTTCCACGGCTGATCGTATGTCTATTTGGGTCGACGTAGCTGTCAATGAGTTCGCCACCTCGTCGACCGCAGTTCGTATTCGGTAACTAGAGCAATGAAAATATATGTTCCGTTTGAGTTCGTATAAATTACATATAATAATTTTCATTAATATAATTCCACTCGTTTCATCGCTTGTTTCGCAAACGTCTTATTGTTTCTTTTTTTTATATCACGCGGTTACGTAAGCTTGAAAAGAATTATTGTTGCTAAACTATTGTCGAGCATTGTAATTAATATCTCTAAAACACCGCGCGGCTTTCGAATACGATCTGGTCCTTATCGCTCGAAAAAATCCCCCAAAAATAACCCTAAAAAGACTCCAAACAGTCTCCCGATAAACCATATAGTCTCCCAATAGTCCAAATAGTCTCCAAAGACTCCAAGGTTACCCGTATTATTCATTATTCCAGTAATTTTCGAACTTTACCCGATACGTACCAAAAAATAAACATTGAAAAATCATCATTAATTAATTCATACGAAAATACAGATTTAATATCTGGATACGAATTCATTTCCAATCGAATATAATCTTCGATATTCTTTAATTTCTTTGAAATGAGAATAATCTTCTTACAAAAGCTAAAATCAAAGGAAACTCGGATATGCGAGCACGCTGTATCGTGAATATCTCGTCTCGTCGGACAGACTATGATTAACCCTTTGCACTCGAAGCTATTTTTAAGTCTAAAGCCGAAATTGTTCTCCTGATCCGCAGTATTTCCATGTTACATAATGCATTATAATTTATGCACATGAAATTGAGTCTTAACAAGTCTGATAATCTGCGAATTACATTCGAAATTTGAACAAGTATTTGTAACGTTGAATGCCATGGGGGTCACCGGTGACCGGCACTTGACTTGGCGGTGACGCCATGGGGGACACTTGTGACCAGCGCGCCCAAATTGATAGAAATATATGTAATTTAACCCTTTTCGTGCCGGAGGCCGATATATCGGCTCTTGCTGCACTGGCGAGAAGTGCCAGAGCCGATATATCGGCCCGCGCCTTATAGCGCTTTATAATAACAAAATTTTACACATTTACAATATATAAATATAAACATAAATATTTATGTTATTATAATGAAGTATTATGCAAAATTATATCACAAATATATTTATGACAACATAATTTTGTTTCAGCAATGTTATATTACCTATAACAATTACATATTTCGGAAGAGATAATCCGTCCGGCGCTTACCATGTACCTTCGAGTTATTTTTTATGTTTGTTATGTAATATTATTTATCTTGTTACAAAATATATCAGAAATGCAAAGTATATACTTTGTAATAAATGATTTATATAAAATTATGATGAAAAGACGACTTTTTGTATGTGCAAATACGTTTCGTAAGAGAGAACTGGACTTTTACTTTCTTTATGATCTTTTATACCTTTGTTATTTATATAATTTTCAATGAATATAGAAAATCTAGTGTCATCGTTTTGTTCTCTATTTCGTTCTTAATTTACTGCTTTTCGAATCATGTAAATATTGTTTCTTGTTTGGTTTTTACGAGCATTTTCCCAAACCCTAGTAAAACCGTGAAATTCGGCCGGTTATTCTCGCATAGGCACCTCTTTTTCGCATGGCACTAAAAGGGTTCAAACAAATGTCAATATCTAAAATTTGGCATTATTACAATCGTCGATTCAAACGGTGATCCCTGTCGCAATTAACATGTCTAACATGGTTATTCACTGTGACTTATCTATTGCAGTTAATATTTCGACATTATATATGTATCACATAAAAGAAAATTCATCGTGGCGCCACGGACAATTTCTGTAAAACCGGCGTGGCATTCAACGTGTTAATACTACGAAGATATGAAATAATGAATTGGAACACACTACCTGACGATTCTCAGTAATCCACTGACATAGCATAAATAGACATTAAGCGATGCTTCCGTGCACGCTATCGATAACAGACCAGTCGTGGCTCCGATTACAAGTTGACACGCGACCAAATCGGTCTGATAGCTTCTCGCAGGATACAAAAAACCGAGGATATTCAAATAACGTATCTGAAGTTCCGATTGCAGCAGCGTGGGAATCAGTATCATGACAATTATAGCGAGCATCCCCGCGACCACTATGGCTACGAACAGGAACATAATATTATCTCATCGTAACGATTATCTTTCTTCCGTAATCGTGCGAATAATTTGAAGAATGCAGTAATGTCTCCCTAATTGACGCTCAGATTGCGCACGAAAATGGATGATTTGGGAAGAGGAGATACGATTATTCGAGCCTTGCGGCTCGTTTTTATAGTTGTTGACAATCGATAATCATAAAAAAGGAGTCACATGGCTGGAACAATCGTATCTCCTCTTCCAAAATTGTCCATTTTCGTGGACAATCTGAGCGTCAATTAGAGAGACATTACCGTAGCTCGCGATTCAGTCGTAGAAAATCTTTACCTACGAATGCCTTGGTCGTCAGCCTCGAGTCCACAATTTGTTTCATGAACAGTTTCGCTTCGGCGGAATTTTTCAGGGTGACGTAGTCGTTCGCGATATTTTCAAACACGCATTTCACCTGAATTCGTTCAAGAGAACAATCGGGACACCGGGTATAATTTAATGCGCGCGACGACGCGTTCTTTGAACTTACCAGTGGAATGTTGTAGACGAATTCGACGTATCGTATAATATACCATCGTATAATATACCTATACCAGCGGACCGCTGAACGACACAACCATAAGTAAATTGTACAACGACATGTCTACCAAACGAAGCGTCGATGCCTGAAAATGTAATTGGCTTTAAGAGTGTCTAAACTTTGCGGGGACAACATATGAGCCGTTTATTTTGAAAGTGGCATAAGTCGCTTTGTTCTAAAGTAGATATATTTAAGGGTTTGCGTTTTAACACGTTTCAAAATATGGATGCCAACTTTCGAGAAGATTTACTTGTATTTGTTATCTCAGGATACTGATATTTTTCTCAGTATAAATAATTTCGTATAAACATTAAAAAATCACCACTTTTCATTACGGTAAAGTGACTTAAGCCACTTTCAAAATAAACGGCTCATATTTCCTTATAAGATTCGTTCCATCACGTGGGGCGATTAGATTTTCTGTTTCGCGTTTAGCTCTCGAAGTACGTTCGAATAATGTACGCAAAACTTAATATATTTTGTGTTCCCGTTTCGCTTTAACCATTATTGGAACGTGTTTCCGTACTGGCAACACATGTAATGGGTAAAAAGAGATATTACATCTTTGAAAACGCAATAACTTTTCTAAAATTGGATATATAGATACGCATGCATGTACACGTATCACTGTGTATCATTATATATCACTATGTATCACTGTGTATTGCTATATAATCACTATATAATCACTATACACATATCATTATATAATATCACTATATTTAAATAGTGATATATAGTGATTATACATAGTGATATATAGTGATACATAGCGATATATAGTGATATATAGTGATATATAGTGATATATAGTGATATGTAGCGATATACAGTGCTACATAGTGATATTATGTAGCGATATATAGTGATATATAGTGATATGTAGCGATATACAGTGCTACATAGTGATATTATGTAGCGATATATAGTGATATATAGTGTTATATAGTGATATACAGTGCTACATAGTGATATTATATAGCGATATATATGTAGGTGTACGTGTGTGTAGCATTTAGGCGTCCGTAATGTTGCGTGCCGGTTAATTCCGAGCCCTGCTGTAAAGCTTCGATTTTGGTACCGTATTCTGGTACAGCGACAAGCATGCAAACATTTAGTTTTAGATTACAGAAATATATTATAATATGATACTTAAAATATCTTATATTACACTGTGATATCTTAATTGTACCGTGATGCTTCAAATATCTTATATCATACCTATATCTTATATTATACTGTGATACTTAAAAGTGATATCACCTGGATCACGATTAAGGAGAACAAAAGCAAAGAGAAGCCGATCCTTTGAATTTTCGTTAACATAAAATATCTGATATTATACTGTGATACTTAAAAGTGATATCACCTGAATCACGATTAACGAGAGCGAAAGCAAAAAGAAGCCGATTCATTGAATTTTCGTTAACATGAAATATCTTATATTATACTGTGATACTTAAAAGTGATATCACCTGGATCACGATTAAGGAGAACGAAAGCAAAGAGAAGCCGATCCTTTGAATTTTCGTTAACATGAAATATCTTATATTATACTGTGATATCTTAATTATACTGTGATACTTAAAAGTGATATCACCTGGATCACGATTAAGGAGAACGAAAGCAAAGAGAAGCCGATTCTTTGAATTTTCGTTAAGAAAGACCGATCGTAGGGCCACAGTCCAGTGACGTTCAGCAGGCTGTAGTAGATGCCGTAATGCTTTTGAAACACTTCCATATCGAAGGCAATGCTGAAACGACTGTGAACGGAAGATCTGCGTTATCCTTTGACTACGGCTCGGTCCAATGTTTTATTCAGACAGTGTTGCGTTTACCTCGTAAGTATCTATTCGATGGCCAGGGAAAGGAAATTGCATGTTTTTGCGAATTATCACGCGGAAAAGTGTATATTAATTATTAGTC